CCATTCCCATGGAAAGCTTTATTGTGACCAATTTCTACATACAGGTATTCAATAAGTGTACACATTGCAGCCACTAGCTACTAGCACAGATCATGGTATCCAATATTATTCAGACATTTATAAGGAGTGAATTCTAGCTACTAAGTAAAAAAGAAGAGGATATCATTTGGGTTTCAACATTGTATGATGATGGAAGAGTAAGAAGTGCTAGACAACCAAGCAATTAATCTCTTAAAATGAGCTTAACTGACAATCCCACAATCAGAGCCGCTTAAGAAGTGCCTTCTGATAAAATTAAATCCCCAAGTGAAACTACTTGGCACTTTGGGTTAATGGTTAAGTTATTTTTTTCCATTAGTGTGTGGTCCTTGATATGTGTTTCCTGTATGTTATGGACATCTACAAGCTGATCTTATATACTGTTTAAAAAAAATCTTCGTCTTCAGTCTTTGTCCATCAATAATTCAATTGGTTCCCAGTAGTAACTTCCGGGTTTCCTATATATACACATGATGTCTGAAACCCCCAGGGGCATGGGCATTTTTGTGGCAGGAAACAGTTTCTAAGAGCTCTTCAACACCGTGCTATTGCTTTATTGGCTTGCAAATGGAATAGTCAGAGGAGCATTTGAGGCTGACCAGAGATCAAAAAGAGAAGCATTCATGCAATGGCTTGTTAGACTGACTGCTAAGAAATGAACTTTCTAACCCTTTCTTTAAAAGGGAATGCAGAAGATCGAAGTGTGGCTTCCTGGCATAGGGAGGACAATTTAATTTTTAAAAAGTATTTGTTGGGATCTGGAAACATAAGAAGACATTGATTATCTCACTCACTAATAGAATAAGCTACTTTCAATGGACCTTTGCCAGACAAGATGGGCAGAGATCCAATTACTGACTAATCACATCTGAATAAACAAAACTGGGTTTGATCAATTAACCACAATTAAAGCCTAAAATGTAACAAATGTGATCAAGCATAGTTTAATAACATGTTTTGGTTGCCTCACTCTTTTAAATATGTTTGTTAGGCTTCTAGGCACAGGGTTGTAACACTTTCAATTATATTCTGCATATTTCTTCAAATTCTCTGATTTGACAATATCTTTATTTGGACCACCCAAAAGTCATAAAAGGGTACAAATATTTTTTTAACAAAGGAAAAGTTAATAAGATTCCGTTATTTTGCTACATAGATCTTCTGTTTTTCTTTACTATTGTTGACATGCAATGTTAGATGTCAGTAACCATATAATTTTCAAGTTGTGAAGGGGAGATAGTAATTAGCAACATAATGATAATTTGTTTAGGGAAACATGTCAAGAAACCCCATTAGGCTTACTGGACAGCAGGCAAGATTTAGGCTTCGTAGACTCAGAGCCATTTAGTGTAGTTAGCAATGATTGGTAACAGTGAAGAGAGATTTTATTTATGTTTGTCTGGGGGCTCCTCAACACTTCTCTTTCTCTCCCTCTCTCAAAAAACATTTCTAGTGCAGAGTGATGTGTCCAAGTAGCGTTGCTCGTGCTTCTCAGATAGTTTTGGCCGGCGTACATATGCTACCCCTGCTCTCAAGCTTTATGCATGAAAAGGGAAAAATTAAGGGGCTGGTGAACCCAGAGTAGTTCCCAAAACTCGAAATAGCACCATAGACTACTATCTTGCCTCCCCTGCAGATGTTTCTGAGGTAGCACATACCAGTTAAATCAGTGCTACATCAGATCACTGTTCTGAGAGGAACTCTCCTGAGCAGTGTGATATGTGCAGCAAGCTTATGCTAATACTGAAGATAAGCATCTGAACAAATTGTCATTGGACATGATTTGGCCCACAGGTAGCTGTTTCTGTGTTTATATTTCATGTGTATTCATATGAAGGAAGAATGCTCCAGTTTTGCTTTTGTTCCTTTCTGTCAATTATTTTCTTTTATGTCATTTCTCTTATATGTGCTTTAGGAGAACCAAAAAAAATAGGAAAGTAGAAGATATCACTGTAGTCAATAGCAAGTTTTTGAAGTCAGACAATAATGCTCAAACTAGGCAATATGATGTATCTCCAGGTTTTTAAAACTCTGGAAAAAAACCACCCATAGTGAGGGATGAGTTGAATTTTGGCTGTGTTGGGTTTATGTTTAATTATTTCATCCTATACCATTTTCTTGTTGGAAATCTCTAAAATCTCACATTTTGAGTATAAAGGAGCATGAAGAAAGTTTACATTGTTAAACTCCAATTGCTGCCATTACTCAAGAAATCACAGTGTTTGGATACTGAGAGATGTGAGGGAAATAATATAAAGCTAGAGGCATGTTTGTCAAGCTGTCAGAACTGGTTAGAAATGGAGATTATGGGGAAGGCTTTAATCTTAAAAAGAATGGATTACATCTCGAGGAGCCGTTAGAGATGGCACTGATGCATTTAGTGTGATCAGAACTGAGAATCTGCAAAAAAATCACAAGAAAATGTTATGTTGGGTTGTTGTGAGTTTTCAGGGTTGTATGCCCATGTTTCCAGATGTATTCTCTCCTGGCGTTTCACCTGTATCTATTGCAGGCATCCTCAGAGATTGTGATGTTTTAAACAAGCATTTAATTGAAGTGTTATACAGACAGAGCATCCCTTACCCAGAAATCCAAATTCCTCCATAATCCAAAATGGCTGACATAGATGCCTGAGACAGTGATACCTGTACTTCCTGATGGTTTAGTGTACACCAACTTCGGTTCCTGCACTAAAATATTCAAAATATTGTATAAAATTACCATCAAGCTATAAGATGTATATGAAACACATGTGAATTCTGCATTTGGACATTGTTCCCATCTCTAAGATACCCTCTTTTGTATATATTTGCAAATACAAGTATTCCTAAATCCAAAAATAACCCCCAGAACACATATTTAACCTGTACTGTCTATGTACTGCATGTAAATAAAACAGTAAATATTTCCTGTTTTGTTTTCCATATATTTCCCTGGATATATTTTCATTTAAGAATTAGGAGAATTGCTCATGCCTTAGCAAACTTGAACCCAACACTCAACTCATTGCCTTGTGGCTTTATTACCTAATCCAATGAGGAATTTGAAGGATAAAAAGGCAAGGATTTGAAGTCTTGGTGTGTTCTTCTATGACAGTATTCTGTGATATTTGGGTATATACAAATATAAGATTTTATGAATTTTCTGTTGAAATTTTTCAAAAATGTTGTAAAAGCTTTCTTGGCTCCTGTCCATATGGGCACTTTTCAAATTAAAGGTTAATTAATTTTACCTTTATCTAAAGTCATACATTCGAGCAGTGGTTCTCAACCTGTGGGTCCCCAGATGTTTTGGCCTTGAACTCCCATAAATTGTAACAGTTGGTAAACTGGCTGGGATTTCTGGGAGTTGTAGGCCAAAACACCTGGGGGACTTACAGGTTGAGAACCACTGTATTAGAGGCTCCAATGGTGTTTTACTTTGAGTTCAATCTGAACCTAAACCACTCTGTGCAACAAATTTATTGTCTAAAGTTTCTGAACAGTACTGTGCAACTACAGATAATTGACCACTGCCTTAATTAGATCACTATTCATACTTATTTACTTTTGTCTGACAATGATTAAATTTGGTGGCAGATGTGGTGGAGCTTTCAAGGGTACATACGTGATAAACAGGAAATCAGAATATATCAACTAATTTTGACTGTATCATAAGAATTGTTGTGTAATGTACCAAACTGGAAGACGTTGCAGATGATCTTGCTAAGATAGTTGATTGGACAGTGCAGCAGACTTCCCAGTCCTGAACTGCAAACTTTAATTTGTAAAGAGTCAGTTTCTTTGGTTTCTACAGATAGTAAGATTCTTTCTCTCTATACATTGGGAAAATCTATCCACTTTAGTAAGAGAAAAAGTTGATATTTGGTTCTTTCCTACGTGTAATGGTTCTACCATTTGGCTATTATTTGCTGTATTTTTTGTTCATTCACTGACATACACACCCTTAAAATAAATTGAGTCATTTTCTTGAGCCTAATGGAGTTGACAAATGTACTCATGGCAAGCTACTTATCTGAATAATTTTTAATCCCTTGCTTTTCTGCTGCCTTTGAGATAATTCAGTATAAGAACCCCCTTAATTGCAAGTTGGTTTGTAAGACTGCCAGTTAGATTAAATCCCATTAATATCATAGCTTTCTTTCCAAATGGAACTTGGAACACTACAAAAATAGCCTCCACATTTCCATACAAATAAAAGTCTCAGCATCCCTGAGCAATTATAAAGTTAACATGCAATGTATTTTGGAGTAAGCAAGTTCTACATCATTTAGCTCTGTGGGTCACCCCTATACAGTTGTCCCTGTGTTTCATTTTCTGTGTGGGATAACACCGAATGAGCAGTATAGAATCTCTTAGGTAATCTTTTGCCTTCAGTGTGTATTCAGAGGACTCTGATGTTGCCAGTCTTTTAGAACACATCAAATATTTATTTTATTTATTTACAGTATTTATATACCGCTTTTCTCACCCATAGGGGTGCTCAAAGTAAGTATGTATGTGTCTAGCTCTCTCTCTATATATATGCAGGGATGAGAGCATGGATGTGTTTTCTTATTGATCCTAGTTGATTGTAATATGTATATCTCGACTTTACTGTGAACGCCATTATACAAATGTACACAAGCTATCTCTTACAAATGCACTTTACCATGTACATATTGGCTAACAGCTGTATTGCAAATAATAGCAAGTTTCAAGCTTCAACAAAAAATAACTTGAGAGAACATTAACACCACGAATCCTTTGAGTCAAAGTCAATAACATTGAGTATTTTGGATGTATTCTAGACTAGCGATTCTCCAGATATTTTGCACTTCAAATCTCAGAATCTTCAGCTCCTTTGATTCTGGAAATTGAATCCCAAAACACATAGTATATGTGGTATATTTAGAAACTGTTGTTCATAAATCTGTACTTCTCTTTTCAGTCAAGTCACTGATTTTCTGATTCTGTTTTCAGCATATGCAGATGACAATCCAAGCTCTTCAGGATGAGCTTAGGATCCAGAGGGATCTGAACCAACTTTTCCAGCAAGATAACACCGGTAGATCCAATGAACCATTTGTAACAGAGCTTACAGAGGAGAATTTCCAACGTCTCCATGCAGAGCATGAACGGCAGGCTAAAGAACTTTTCTTGTTACGAAAAACTTTGGAAGAAATGGAATTGCGCATTGAAACTCAGAAGCAGACCTTAAATGCACGTGATGAATCCATCAAAAAGTTGTTGGAAATGCTGCAGAGTAAGGGGCTGTCAGCAAAAGCAACAGAGGAAGATCATGAACGGACAAGAAGGTTGGCTGAAGCAGAAATGCATGTGCATCACTTAGAAACCTTATTGGAGCAAAAGGAAAAAGAAAACAACTTGCTAAGGGAGGTGAGTAGTTATTCACGTATGGAGGATCTGTTTTTGAACACTGATTTTAGCAGAATCCTCATTACCTCAGTGAATTTCACTGCAATTCAAACCGCTCTCCAGTCAGTCAATTTTTCCTCAAAAAATCTGGTTTTATGATTTCTTTGCTTTTCATCCTTGTGATATGTTTAATTTTTAACTCCAGTTTAAATATTCTTCATAGTTTTCAATGGATTTTGTGAACAATTGAATGAATTTATAAACTGGATGGATTAGCAGCATCTTAACATCGTTTTGTTTTACTTTCTTCCTAGTTTTATTTGAGATAGTGATAAGAACCAGAATGTTTCTCTTTCCTTAATCTGTTGAAACATACAGAAATTGCATCTGAGGCACAGAAATTAGGATTATCTGATTGCAGACTTGCTTACTATATATAATTCATTTGGATGACAAGCATTCAATACAACTTTCAACACATTCTGTGAGTGTGGATATACGTAGGCAGGAACCCCAGATGTATCTGGCAGTAATATCAAAATACTTAAACATATTCCACCACAAATAGAAAACTGAAATTTGAAATGTTAGGCCGTAGAGACTTGCTTTTGATTCAAAGAGCAGGGATTTTAAGTAGCAGCCAGGAGCACAAATCTGAAAATGAGATAAGCCACACGTGCGTGGGACTTCACCTTCTGGTGCTTTGCTGTCCTCAAACTGCAGGAAAGAAAATTGACAGTGACAAGCAGGAACTTATATTTGCAGAATGACTCGCTGTAGGTTTACTATTTTTCTGTACATAAATATGTTCCTTGTCTGAACTATTGAAGGTAACATTTTGTATTCATCTCTGTGTATGAATTTACTAGAAAACTGGAAGTGAACATCTATCTGTATTAGAACAGAAAGAAGTCTCTACAGTTTCAATTAAAACAATCAGCTTTCTATGACAGATATTAGATATAATTTTCTGCCTTGAATTTACGGCTTCAAACATACTGTTTATGTTGAAGTAATCAGTACATTTGTCCTGCGCAGGCGCAGAGATACCATATGTGCAATTCACAGTTGACTACGACAGGAAATCTTCATCCTATATCGATGTCAATAATTCATACAATTAAGATAAATCGTAGCTAAATAGATTTGGACATTTAGCAGTCGTAATAAAATAGGAAGTATAAAACCAGCTTGACAATTTCAGGAAATTGAATGAGATGGTTCTATGCAGAGTGATTTAAAAAGTAGGGAGAATGAATAAATGATATCAGTAGGAATGGCACATCATTATAGGATGAGATGGTGTGGCGGCGGTCCTGTCCCCCCCCCCCCCTTCCTGGTTGCCAATGCTACATAAACCTGTTTTCTCAATGCCTGATTTCGTGAGGGTCCTCATAACTAAGGAATTATAGAGGGGATAGCCAGGAAAATTTTCTGTACTGCTTCTTGAGAGCTCTCCAGAGCAGCAGGGATCCTTCTGGTTTGGAGTAGGGAACAATAAATGCAATCCTTTTAACATCTACCTCACTCAGTTTCATGGTAAAGCCAGATCTACTTTTAAGTAGGAACTAAACCACTGAAATACCATACTTTCAGTTTATAATCTACTAGCTGTGCCCTGCCACGCGTTGCTGCAGCCTATAGTAAAACTTATCAAAGTTGAGGTAGATATCTGGACTATTATGTGTGTGCGGCGGCGGGGGGAATGATGGAGCCTGGGGTTGCGTGTGTGTGTGCGGCGGTGGGGGGAGTGGGGTTGCGTGTGTGTGTGCGGCGGCGGGGGGGAGTGATGGAGCGTGGGGTTGCGTGTGTGTGTGCGGCGGTGGGGGGAGTGGGGGTTGTGTGTGTGTGCGGGCGGGGGGAGTGATGGAGCGTGGGGTTCGTGTGTGTGCGGCGGCGGGGGGAGTGATGGAGCGTGGGGTTGCGTGTGTGTGTGCGGTGGCGGGGGGAGTGATGGAGCGTGGGGTTGTGTGTGTGCGTGCGGCAGGGGGTGTGTGTGTGCGGGAAGCAGCGTGGCAGGGCTTGGAGTGGGCATGGCTTCTGCAGAGGGAACGTTGGCCGGAAGGCTGTGTGCGCGCGCCAGGGAACTTGCGGCTGGGCACCAATGCGCATGCTCAGTTGTTTTGCCGTTTTGTGTGTTGTTGTGTTGTTTTTCATTTTGAGTAGATATGTTTGTACCTTGTGGGTTGTGTTATGGGCATGGGAATTTTGGTTAAGTTTCGTTGGGGGATTTTTGAGTTTTGTTGTTTTGCCGTTTTGTGAGTGTGTTGTTGTGTTGTTTTTCATTTTGAGTAGATATGTTTGTACCTTGTGGGTTGTGTTATGGTCATGGGAATTTTGGTTAAGTTTCGTTGGGGGATTTTTGAGTTTTGTTGTTTTGCCGTTTTGTGAGTGTGTTGTTGTGTTGTTTTTCATTTTGAGTAGATATGTTTGTACCTTGTGGGTTGTGTTATGGGCATGGGAATTTTGGTTAAGTTTCGTTGGGTTTTTTTGAGTTTTGTTGTTTTGCCGTTTTGTGGGTGTGTTGTTGTGTTGTTTTTCATTTTGAGTAGATATGTTTGTACCTTGTGGGTTGTGTTATGGGCATGGGAATTTTAGTTAAGTTTCGTTGGGGGGTTGTGGAGTTTTGCTGTCCGGTTGAACCAACTTAACAGATTTATATATATAGATAGAGCTTGGATGCAAAAATATAACCAGTGGTATTGGAACCTACTAAGAAATGATGAAAATCAACAAAGTTGCACTCCTTCCTTTCAGCATTTAAAACCATTTCAGTAACACACAAATACTTGAAATCTTATTAAAATGGGACCAGAGATAATTACTCTTTTAAAAGGATGCCTGAAGTTGCTCAGGAATAGCAGTGAAAAAGCTGATACTCTTCTAAGGGCAACACATACATCTTCTTAGGGGCATGCCCTAGACAAAAGCTTCTGTTATTCTAGGATTGAGTGGAACTGCCTGACTGAAATCAGATGTGCAGCCTCATGAGATGATAAGACTTCAGTCATGAGGATATGCATCATGTGTGAGGATGCAAAAGGTCATTATAGATATTCCTTAGCAACAGTGGGAAGACTACCTCACTTTTGAAATATAAAATGCTGTCCTCTTCTTGTCTTTTTCAATTCTATTAAAATTTTAGGGAGGAGAGAATTTCTTAATACAAAAATGAGTTTCTTTCTTATATTTCTTATAATTAATAACAGCTGTGTAAATTACACATTTAATCAAGAACTCTAGCATCCTGAATACCTTTATCTTGTTTAAGAAGCGTGCTTTTCAGACAAAAGTTGCTTCTGCCTAATTTTCTAACATTGCAGTGTGCATTTAAAACTACAGCTTCAGCATCCAGAGAAAAGAGGGGAAAAACATCAGATGTAAGGATTCTATGTGTGAATGATTTTAAGTGTCTTACTCTGCAATACTAAAAACTGAATAAAATTTAGTGGATGAGGGATGCAGTCCACTCCCTCCAGTACCTACACTCCTAGTTGCACCACAGAATCAGATTTGTCTTTCCTGCAAAATATGGTGGTATTTGTCTCCTACCTTTTAAGGTTCATTATTACATATCATATGCTGGTAATGTTTTGTTATTCCTTAAACCAATATAGGTTTAGTACAGAATTTGGTTTCAGAACTTGGCTTGGCAGTGCCCTTTAAATGTCATGACTAATGTCATTCATAATACAAATAATTTGTATTGTGCTAACTCTCCTTTGTTGTTTGAGATTCTTTTGTAACGCCATTTCTTTTAGTACTCTTAATCTACATTTAAATTAGAACTTTAGAGCATCTAGCTCCTTCTATTTGAAGATTGCTTTCAAGCTTCGGGGTTTTTTATCTACATTTACTTTGTTCTCTATGTATAGAGATTTCCTGGAGTTCACTGGAAGTTCCTAGTATCTGGCTTTAGTGAAGTTTGTTTTAAGTATGATTGTGCAAAATGTAATTTTCTTGCTTATGAAAACGGCCATACATCAAGGGAACCACTGACCGCATAGGAAAGTTGATGAAGAATCACAACATATAAACTATCTACAGACCCACAAAGAAAATCCAACAAATGCTACGTTCAGCAAAGGACAAGAGGAATCCTCTCACTCTGCAGGAGTCTACCATATACCATGCAATTGTGGACAAGTCTACATAGGGACCACCAAACGTAGTACCCAAACACAAATCAAGGAGCATGAAAGGAACTGCAGACTACTTCAATCCGAGAAGTAAGCCACAGCAGAGCACCTGATGAACCAACCTGGGGACCGCATATTATTTGAGAACACAGAAATGCTGGACCACTCTCACAACCACCATGTCAGACTATACAGAGAAGCCATTGAAATCCACAAGCATTTGGACAATCTCAACAGAAAGGAGGAAACCATGAAAATGAACAAAATCTGGCTACCAGTATTTAAAAACTATAAAATCAGAACAGTAAATAAAGAGTAAAACTCAAAAGCAGGGAAATTCCAGACAAGAATCAATTAGGTGTAACATGCACAGATATCTATAACAATTACAAAAACTGTAGATTGCAAATCACAATTTCTATGTTCCAAGAATTTCTACATTGAATATAACATGAGAACATTCACACGATTAATTAAAGACTGTTTATAAATCGAAGATAATTTATCAGTACTTTGTCAACACAGTGAAACTAGAGCTTCCAAAATAACAATTAAACAATGTCAGGCACAGTGACACAAAATAACACTTTCTAAGTTGACGAAAGATCTTCCATAAACAACATCAGTGACAGTGACACGCAACAAGGTCTCCTGGGTTGTTTCCCTTGTTTTGCAATATCATCAGGTGTTATGATGTTTTAATACACTAAATAAGAAACACAGCAACATACAGATAATAGATATACTACAATCCCCAAATTGACATAGTTTTGAAAAGGTTGTTGTTGTACACGCTTGACTACTTACATTCTAATTGGTAGCTATAAATGCTGATAGAAAATCAAAACAGAACCAATTAAAAAAACAGGAAAAGGAATGGTATCAAAGATTAGAGAATTTGGCCTATGCATTAAAAAGAAAATAACAACAAATTATTTACTCAATTTTGGAAAGCTTAGAGTTTCACTGACACAAGCATATTCTTTAAGCACACAAACATATACAGAAATAACTGGCTAGCCAATATAGGAATCAAAAGGATCCACCGATCAGAAGAGAAGACAAAGAAGCTCCATCCTGCCTGTAAATCAAGACCAGGAATGGACTGTGGAACAAACTATGAAATGTGTCGTTGAAGACTTTCATGGTCGGAATCACTGGATTCCTGTCTCTTTTAGTTCACTCACACCAAGTATTGCAGGATTTATATGTTTCGATTATTTTTATATAACTCTTAGGTTTCATTAATTCAATCTTCTCACGTTCTATGTATCTGTTATATACAGACTTGGAGTTTCTGTTCACACCCAAGCATGTCAGCAGTTGAACATTTTTTGGCTCAAGTCCATTTGCGTCATTACACACTGTTCTATTTGTACTTTTTCTTTGCTGTTCCCCATTAACTTGCTGGATGTCTTCTGACCTGATGGATATCATTTTCCAGTGATATTTCTTGCTTCATTTTGGATTGTCTCCTCGTAGCATTTTCAAAGTAAAAAACATGCAAAAGTAGTTTAGCAGTATTGCTTTCTGTGCAGTCCTAACAATGAGTTGAAGTGTCACTGCTTTTCTTTCTAAGGCATCTTCCACTAGTGTCACTTCCCACTACTACTTCTGCCCCATAGTTTCCTTTTGGAGCAGGAAATGGCACAAAAAAATATTACATACTACTTAGGAAAACAACCAGGTGGAGGGAAGTGTTGGTTCACTTTCCAAAGTATGAGTTCTTAAACTTTTAAAGCCACTGAGCCCTATCTGAAGGAAAAGTTTTTTGTGGAGCCCGAAGAAATTCAGCCAGCGCCGAAATTCCCTAATATTTGTCGTGCTGCCCTGCTGGGTTGAAGGCTACACTCGCCCTGTGCTGCCTGTGGGCCATGTCAGTGGGCTGCTTGGCATTGAAGGGGTGGGGGATGCAGTGGGTGATGAAGGCATCAAGCTGGAGCCAGAGCCGCTTCTCCCTCTTCTCCTTCTGCAGCTGCTCCTGTACCTCTTGGCTGTCGCTCTTCACAGAGGGGCTGGGGCTAGCCGGCTGCATCGCTCCCAATATTGCTGCTTCTTCGCCGCAGCTGCACCTCTCTGCGCAGCTAGACTCCCAGGTGGTGGCGGGCGGGCTCTGGGGGCACCATTTGCAGCCAGTGCCTCCCTCCGGACTTTCTTGGATACTGTGTTGGACTGTTCACTGCTGGAGGATGGGTTAAACATGGTGTCCGTGTAGATGGAGTGTTTAGCTTCCTTCCTTGACAAAACCAGGCCTGATTGCACAGAGAGGAGCAGTGGTGGCATTGGGAGTGCCTTGTCCACCACCGGGGTCCCAGCGGAAAGGCCTTGTAGGCCATGCTGGCAGCAGAGAGGCCCTGTAAGCTGCGTGTTTCCTAAGCAGGGGACAGTGGGTGGCGCGGGACCCCGCCAAGCCCCTGACTGTTCTTCCTAGAGCCCTATGGAGTCTGCGGAGCACAGGTTGAGAATCGCTGTTCCAAAGGATCACAAAACATATTTTGAGAAAGAGTGCTCTATAGTATGTGCTTCCTTTTGGGAACACTCTATGATGCTGAGCCTATCAATCAGTAGAAGCTCCAACCATCTGGTACGCATGGGTCAGCTCACAGTTGTCTCAGACAACAGGAATTACAACAATAATTATGGTAATAATAACAATACTTTTACAGCCTTTTCACTAAAGGGCCAAATATCAACATCTTCAATCAGGGACAAGGATTATAAAACATAACTCACCAGACCAGTACTTGGAAACCCTTATTAGGATCCATAGGCCAAAGATTAACTGGCTCTTTACTGTGCTTCTTGGTGGTTGTATTTTGTTCTCTTAACAGGTGCTGTGGTTGTCTTGTTTTCTAAAAAGCCCAGTGCATTTTGGTATTTATATTATTATTTGGCTTTCTTTAGTGGTTAGTAAATCTATATACTGCAGAAATTTCTGAAGTTGATAAAAACCTATCCCCTTATGACTGGACTGTTACACAATAAAAAGGGATTCCTTGAATGTGTAGCAGAAGGCCTGGGCAATACGCCTCTGAGAAACCTCATTCCATGGACATCTTTTGTACACTACTAATCTTTGCAGTTGGGAAGACAAACAGTACATGAGGGAATCCTGTTATTTGGCAAGGCCTTATACAATAATACAGCACCGGGATTGTGGCGCAGCTGGCTGAGTGTCAGCTGCATTAAGATCACTCTGACCAAAAGGTCATGAGTTCGAAGGCAGCCCGGGTTGGAGTGGGTTTCCAATCAATTGTGTAGCCTGTTGTCGACCTTTGCAACCCGAAAGACAGTTGCATCTGTCAAGTAGGAAAATTAGGTACCACCTTAAAGTGTGGGGAGGCTAAATTAACTAATTTACAAGGCCATAAAAAAGACTCCAGCAAAGCATGCGGAAAATGCGGAAGCACTTCATCAGTGTCGCAGATGGACAATGAAAGCGACAGCTCCCCTGGCGGCCAGAAAAAGTTAAAATAGCCTCTGTGTATGTCTGTATATGTTGTAAGTCAAAACTGGCATTGAATGTTTGCCATATATGTGTACACTGTAATCCGCCCTGAGTCCCCTGTGGGGTGAGAAGGGCGGAATATAAATGCTGTAAATACATAAATAAATAAATAATGAAAAGATACAAACAAAGGAATCGGGTAATCAAGTCTTGATTTTAGAGTTCTGTTGCATCTTTTACTGTTTAATTTTTTCCTCTCTCTAGATATTTCATTTAAAATTGGAGAAAAATACAAATATATCTGAAGTACTAAGACAAATTTGTCCTCTGGCAAACTTTCTATTTTTAACATATTAGGCTTGTAGTTAGGTTCTTGTCCTTTCGAACTACGGTAAATAAGCATTTTCTCTTATGCTGATTTCTTTTTAACTCTTTTGATGAACAATCTATAATTCCTTGCCATCTTTGTGGACGGAGCTGTCATCAGTTACTAGGTGGTTGCAACTGATGAGCATGTAGGAGTATTACTGGCACAGATGCTTTATCAGCTTGTTAAGTACATACCAGATTGTTGCTGTTATTTATTAATCCCCTTTTTAAAAGTATTTTTATCATCCCACCGGAAGATAAAAGTTTGAAAATGCCATATAAGGAGTCATAGCTGGAAAGTAAAAAGGTTTTAAAGATGCTTAGCTGCTTGCAGTTGACTGTGTGCTTTTATAAAAAGATAAAAATGAATGTGTGGTTGAAGGCTTCCATGGCTGGATCACCGGGTTGCCGAGAGTTCCGGGCTGTATGGCCATATTTCAGAAGCATTCTCTCCTGACATTTTGCCCACATCTATGGCAGGCATGCTCAGAGGTGGTGAGGTCTGTCAGAAACTGGGCAAATGAGGACATTCCAACTGTGGAATGTCCATGGTGGGAGGAAGACCTCTTGTCTACTTTAGTCAAGTGTGACTGTTGCAGTTGGCCATCATAAATGCTAATCAAGGTAGCCAATTGCAACATTCACACTTGCCTCAAGCAGACGAGTTCTTGATCTCGCCCCAGACATTCGACAGATATATAAACCTCACTTGCCTAGTTTCTAACAGACGTGACAACCTCTGAGGATGCCTACCATAGATGTGGGCGAAACATCAGGAGAGAATGCTTCTGGAACATGGTCATACAGCCCAGAAAACTCACAACAACCCAGTAAAAATTAATATTTTCTTCTGTATAGGTAAAGAAGCTGATGTTCAGTTCAAGCAGACTGTGACTGTTTGATGAGAAAAGTCAGTTGTGCTTCTAAAAACAGACCTGAGGAGTTGTCCCTTTCTTGAGGTTCTACTCAGTCATAAAAGTATATATTCTTTTACTCAGCCTTCTTTTTCTGCATGTATAGGAGATGCATCGTCGCTTTGAAAATGCTCCTGATTCTGCGAAAACCAAAGCTTTGCAGACTGTTATAGAAATGAAGGTAAGAATTCTGTTGTTACTTTTGCTATTATGTGCCTTGAAGTCAATTTCAGCGTATACTGACTGTATTATATAATTTTCTAGATAAGATTTATTTAGAGGAGGTTTGCCAATGCCTTTCTCTTTGGCTAAGGGAGTGCCTCTTGCCCAAGATCTCCCAGAAGCTTTTCCTGGCTGAATGGAGATTTAAACCCTGGTCTAGTTCAACACCTGGTCTAGTTCCCACTGTGGAACTCACTCCCGGGGGAAATCAGGGCATCATCATCCCTCCTCGCCTTCAGGAGGAGGGTGAAGACTTGGTTATGGGACCAGGCCTTTGGGCGCTCCGGCAATTAAATCAGACAACCAGGCGAGTAAGACCAGCAGGATTGATGAAGTGGAACGTAAAACTAGATCTATGAGTAGCGAACGCTGACCATGTAAGAGGAGAAATTGGGTTTGTATTTGGTTTTATTGATTTTATTGATTTTATTGATTTTATGGTTACAATGTATATTTGTTGTTAACTGTGTATTGATGTAATTTTGTATTTGATTGTTTTTATGATGCAGGCATCAGATTGTGCCTTTGCTTTTGTAAGCCGCCCTGAGTCCCCTTCGGGGTGAGAAGGGCGGGGTAAAAGAACCCCAAATAATAATAATAATAATAATAACATTCAGCTGTTATGCCTAATTTTGTGCTCTGGAGAGAATTCACAAAAACTGCATTAACATCCCCCTCCCTTGTACAAATAGTGGAATATAGTGTTACCTCAGATAACAAAGCCTTTGATAGGGGAGGTTTTTTTTATTTAAAAAACCTTTTTATTCCTGCCCAGCCCTTTTTTGCTCATTAATATCTGTTTTCTAGCAGCAATGTCTTTAGGAGGATGATTGCCACTTTTTTTGCTTTCCTTTCTGTTGCTATTAGAATATTTTCAAAATGTTGCTAATTGAAGATGTGATGCATGGGAGGTTCTCCGTGAGTCGCTTTCGGGAGAGAGGTGCGGTCTAGAAATAAAGTATTGTTATTATTAAATATTATTATTAAATAAAGTATTATACATTGTATACATTGTGTTGACCGAGGACGTTGTTGTGTTGACCGAGTACGCTGTTTGCCATTTGGGCTGACTGACTGCATATTCCAGCTTCTGTGCCGTCAGGCCGCTATACGGAGGACCACCTACAACAAATTCCGTGCTGACCGACCACTGAGATCCTCCATCTGAACTCAGCGGAGCGCTTTCATTCTTGCGAGGGGGGAGGGGTGTGCTGCCCGCTATCGTACATGAGCCGCCTCCATCGCGGCCACTAATTTCGGACCCGGAAACTAACACCAACCAACTATTGACGCCTATCCAATATCCATTGTTCCATATTATTCTATACTGTATGCTATAACAACGCTGGTAATAACAACTGTGTTTATTTTTGCACTATCCACTGCACTTTAACAGCCTGCAAGTTCGCTTAGCATAGCACTTTGTCAACCTCCCTATTCCTATTGCTGCTAATCTGATCCCATACTTTATGCTGCTATTGATCCATCTTAGCACTTTACCTCCATGCTGCACTTTAATAAGTCTGGTTAGATACCAACAGCACATTACACTTTGCACTTTAAGAGCCTAGAGAGAGTATCCGCTACACATTGAGATCGTGAAGCGTTAAAAAGTGTATTGATAACTGTTATCCATGTGCTCCCCCATCCCTTGGTACCTTCTATTTGTACTGTTAATCTTCTGTGGGGAGGTCAGGGATCGCAGCGGGCTGGAGACTGGGGGAAACAATGGGACGGGGGGGGAAGCAGAGGGAATGGAAACGCGGATTGGTTTAAGACCGCAACAAGCTATTCAATTAACAATGAAACGCAAACTGAGATTACAGGGATGGAAGGTGGCATGGAGGGGGGAGGGTGTTCCATCAGCCGAGGGGCCCCCATAGAAGTGGTGGTGGGGAAGGGGAGATGCGGAACAAGGAGACCAACAATTCGGCCTAGGGATCGTGCACCAACATTAGCAATTCCAAACCGGTCTCCTTATATGGTAAATTGGTGTAACCAGGTTGGCGGTCCCTCTGGATTGAAGGTGGTGTTGTTGAACGCCAGATCTGTCAATGGAAAAACCACCTTCATCCAAGATTTAATTTTGGATGAGCGGGCAGATCTGGCGTGCATCACGGAGACC